GCGCGGCGAGCTGCGGGCGCCTCTCTGCTGCCTCTGGCGGCCGCGCGCCGCCGGCCGAGCCCAGCGGGCCCCGGGCGCCGAGCGCCGGCTCCTCCTCCTCTCTCTCTCTCTCCCCTCCTCCGCCGCCTCCCCGCTCCCTCCTCCCGTCCCTCCCTCCCTCCCCCTTTCAGAGCACTCAATGTCGGAACGTTCCGAAGATGACGTCGGAGCGTTCTCGAATCCCGTGTCTCTCGGCTGCTGCTGCCGAAGGAACAGGGAAAAAGCAACAAGAAGGAAGAGCAATGGCGACACTGGATCGCAAAGTGCCCAGTCCGGAGGCGTTTCTGGGCAAACCCTGGTCCTCCTGGATCGACGCCGCCAAATTACACTGCTCCGACAGTAAGAACCCCACCGCCTCCTCTTCCTTTTATTATCCTGTAACCTTTCCATTCACCTAGAGCCACTGGGAAAAAGTGTGTGTGTGAGAGAGAGAGTGGCCCCCGGTGTCCTCCATGCTTCTCCCTCTCTCTCTAAATAAATACACAGAGACAGATCATCAATGCACAGAGAGAGGCCCTGCTGCCAGGGCTGGCTGTCTGTCTGTCTGTGCCCGGCTCCCCGTGGCAGCCCGCGGGGTGGGCTTTCACAGCCCCACGGTGTATCTGTTTAAAAGGCTACTCTGTTGCTGCTTGCATAGTTTTTTTGGTACCTATCTGTGCCAGGTAGATGGCAATCCGGACTTGGGAGAAAATGTTGCATTGTCAATTTTTTGAAAGATTTTTCATGTACAGTATTTATATTGATCTGTTTGCAAATAAACACTCTCCCCCCCCTTGACTTTGGCTTTCCCCCCCCTTTTTGGTCTTTTTTTCCTCATTTTCTTTTCTCCTTTTCTTTTTCATCTGCAGATGTAGATTTAGAAGAGGCTGGAAAAGAGGGTGGAAAAAGCAGGGAGGTTATGAGGCTTAATAAAGAAGGTAAGTGAGCTACTGGCATTTTAGTGTTAGCATGTGGCAGAATCTTCACTGGATTTCGACTATAATGTGAATTGTTCTGCTGGGTACAGAGTGACTAAGGCTTGTCAAAAATCGAGCACGCCCAGGTGACTACTGCTTCATGTTAACTTCTTTCAAAGTATAAATACAACTGGGGGGGAGGGGGGAGACTGTGGAAGGTAGAAGTTTACAGCACTTAAGCTGGAGTCCACGTTTGGACCTTCTGATGCATATCTGCCATTCACCTTTGGAGCATCATTGCCAAATGGTGGTGGTGGGGGGGGGTGTCTTGAAATCTCTGAAATGAGGAGCGAGGCTCCCTTCACCAGCATCCCAGCCTTCCTTGTGGGTACATACACAACAGTTTAATGAGCCCCACATGGTCAGTCATTCCAGCAGCTACTTCTCCACTCTCCACTGAAAACCACTGTACATTGCAGACCTTTGCAGCAAGTTACATTCGGCCCACTTTGTGTTTGGTCACAGATTGTTGTGTGGCGGGCAGGGCTAGGGGTGGCTGTGTGCACAGCCCCCCAGCTGGTCGCACATCCCTGTTTCCCCAGCCTGGAAATACAGTACCTGAAATGGGACACAGTGAGTAGATAGGTCATCCCAGAGTGAGGCAGGGATGGGAAGCCACGGCCTGCTGGAACTGGGCATCAAACACACATGGTCGTCATAAATAAATCATATCCTGTTCGCGTTTGCAGGCCTGCCATATGTAACTCTGGCCTGTGGGCTTCACATGGAGCAACTCCAGAGGCCACTTTCTGCTGAACAAATGGGTGGGTTCATTTGAATTGTGATTTACTAACTGGTGTCTTGTAAACATGGCTGGCTGAAATTAGAGTGGGAGGAAGACATGAGGGGGCAGAAGAGGTTGGTGGGAAGTGTTGAAGGAGTTCAGCCATCACTAGGCCGTGGGAGCATTGCTCATCCAAAACGAAGGGAAAAAAGGCCAGTTAGACTCCAAAGAATGGTCTCCCTCATAAGCCAGGATATCACCCTGTAAGGCAGTTAAAACCCACTTGGAAGCGTTTTGTGGATCACCACCTAAGACAGTGGGTTTCTGTGCCCAGGGATTTCCTGACGATCCAGTGAGAGGAGAATTTGTGCTTTAGAAAACATAGCATGGAGGTTAAAATATTCAAGGACGGTTCTCTAGCATAGTGTTCCTGCTAATTAATCATGTTGGGAACGAAACCTTATTCTAAAGATGTTTGCCTCTAAATATCATAGTGTGGTCCTGCCATGTGTCTCCAGGATGCACGAGGGAACGATGTCAAGCGGACTTCTTACAAGTGGCAGCTTATTGGCGCTAAATGTCCATGCGTGTTGGCAATGGAAAGTATCACTAGAAATTATTTTTCTTTATAAACTCTTGAGATCTTTAAGAGCTCATGGGTCTCCGTTGTCAGACCACTGGCCATGGAAAGGTTTCCACAAAAAAAGATGAGGTTGTGAAAACCTTTAAATAAGTTGAGTAAAGGTCATGGTGTGCCACCGATTGGTACCTCTCAGGCCTGGGCGACAGATTCTGACCATACCGCACAAAACTCATATTCTGCACCCTCCTCCCTGCATCCATCTCAAAAGACTCGTGTTCTCAGATTCTCTTTGCCTCTTGAAAAATAGATTCTTTTAAGGAAAAATGAAAAGCTCGCCTTTCCTCAGAAGTCACAAGTGGTACATCCTGCTTATTATAGCCTTTGTCCTGTAAAGGTACAAAGATTTAGCTCCTAATTATATGCGTTTGCATTAAGGACACCCACTGTGCAATGTAACATGCAATTGCTGAGTTCACCAAATAGCCATGTATGGGCTGAAATCTCTTTGTTCGTGGGCCTGGTGGAGCAAGCTTGGGTTAGCAATCCCTGAAGGTCTTCCCGGTATGTGCATACAGTTTTCCTTAGAGGGAGAGGACATAGTAGTAAATATCTACCCCCCCTGCCGACCACCACCATGGTGAGGAATTGAAGGATTGAACTGGGATTCTGTGTTGGTATGTCTGGTTGCTGGGATCTCCAGAAACACTGGTTGCATTAGTCTCACCATGGGCCTTCTTGTCGGAGTCACCGCGTGGGTGGCCTCCAGATGGATATGTGTTTGTGGATGGGTCTCCAGGACACAAAGTGACCTACGTGTGATTGTGTTTATCCACGGGTGTCAAATGCATGGATTGGCCATGATGCAGTTGGGAGGAAGCAGGTCTTGAAAAGAAGTTTGGGCTTTAATGGCAGTGAATGAGTTAGGAATTCCAACTGAGAAATCAAGGGACGTGATCCACATTTTAAATATTTTAAATTGTTGTAAAAGAAACATAATGTAAAATTTACCATTTTAACCATTTTAAAGAGTATAATTCAGTGGTGCTAGGTACATTTACAGTGTTTTACAACCATCATCATCCCTGTACATTTCCTGAACTTTGTCATCGTCCCAACCAGGAACCCTGTAGCCATTACACGATAACTCCCCATTGCCTTTCCTCTCAGCCCTGGAAACCTCTGTTCTATCTACTGTCTCTATGAAGATGCCTATTTTATATTCTCTCTTTCTCTCTCACTCTCTCCCTCCCCGACTGCTCTTTCCCTCCCTGCCCCCTTTCTCCCTCTCTCTCTGAAATGCAATATTTGTCCCTTTGTGTCTGGCTTATTTCACTTAGCATAACATTTTCATCATTTATCCATGCTGTAGCAGGTGCCACAATTTTTTCCTTTTTATGGCTAAATAATATTCCGTGGTGGGTATAGACTGTGTTTTATTTATCCAGCCATCTGTTGATGGGCATTTGGCTTGTTTCCGCCTTTTCGCTCCAGTGAATAACGCTGCTGTGACCATTGTTGTGATATGATATGTTTTATAGACGAAGCTATAAGGGAGGAAAGTTAGGCTGGAAATGCAAAAGAAGAAACATTTTGCCTTCTGCCTCTATCTGGCCACAGCCTCAGAAGACACAGGAAGGACTTGCCGGCATTTGGAATAGCCTGATTATTGGAATGTGCTTCCTTCTTCATTCCTCATTCCTTTCACCTTTTGTGGCTTCAGTTCTCCACCTGGATGAAATGTTAACCGAATGCTTCAGAATTTCTGTAGTGAATTATTCGCATTCATGTTATTATTTCATCCAAAGTTAGTGAAAATCACAGGCAAGAAGAATTTGGCAAACACCCTTGAACCTTGCCAGATGGTCACCTGGGTTCAGAAGGTGCTGCGAACTCCATGCTTGGATGTGGTGATGTGGGGTTATGCCGAGGGCTGCCTGGAGTACCAGTGGAGCAGGAGAGAGGGCTCTGGGGCAGCTTCCTGAAGTCCCCCTGTATGACCTTGGGAACATCGGCTCCCTTCTCCGGGCCTCTCCGTAGAGAGTGGGATGGCATGTCCCCCAGGGTCCCTTTGAGATGGCTGACCCTGACTCTGTCTACTGAACGTACCTGTATTTGAGATCCAGTCATACCACCCAGGCTGTTTTTAAAGAAACAACAGCAACAAAATCAAGCCCTCGCTTTAAAAGTATCTTAACTAACTACTACACACTGGGTCTGTTTTCTCATTTTATAATCTCTTGGTGGCAGACATCACCACATCTCCCACACAAGCAAATAGTTTGTGAAGAGTGTGTGGCTTTTAGGAGTCTAAGAACACTGAGGGTCTGAGTTCAAAACCCAGGCGCATGCATTCCCCCGAAGTGGAGAGTAAGTGGACCTCAGTCAGCCTGGACCAGTGTGGCACTGAGATTCTTAAGGGGTGGGGGGCCCCAGAAACCTTATTAGTCTAAGATGTGAAATTCATCTGTGATAGAAAAGTCCAAGGAAGGCCATTCATCTAGCTAACCTTTTAAAAATAATTTTCTCTCTCTAGCTTCATAGATTTATCTGAAGACTTTTTTCCAGCTAATTGGGAAAAAGCTCTGTGATTTAGAAGGACGGTCTTCTTTTCTCATTGCCTCACCTGAACTTTTTTTAAGGATGTCAGTTCATAAATCAGGAACAGGGGGCATATAGCTCAAAATGGAGATGCTAACAGGGTTGTGAGGATTGACTGAGGTAATACAAAAGGACCCAGCACACAGTAAGCACATAATGTTTGCCTTTATTCTTTTTTTAACTGTTATTATGATTATCATTATCACTTATTAATGAAGCCAGTCCTAGAACACTTTATTATTATAATTAACTAGGACTTTCAACTACCCAGTGACAAATGGAAGAGAGATCCTGTATCAGAAATTTCATTTTTAGAGTAAACCATGTTATCATAATTTTATAAAGCTAGTGGTTTTTAAAAAACCGATTACTATGACATCTGTGTGTTTCATGGAGTGCAGTTAATATGTAGTCATTGATAACTTTTATCAGAAGTTAGAAAATATACTTAGGCAGTTTCGGGCCTATGGCCAAGGAGGGTTTACAGAGTTCTCTCGGGGGACTGGTGAGATGTAAAGAATAATTTAAAAAATGATCGATAAGTTGTTTTATCTGGTCACTGAGACAAGAAAGCCCTCCAAAGATCCTTGTTTGGGTCTTTTGGAAGCCTACGCTGGGTTCTCTGGGCATTTGTCTGTGTTTTAATATTCCCAGATGTTTTGATTTGATGGAGGTAAACCTGTGGAATGCTTCCAATTCAGAAACTGTTCTGGGGCCAGTAAGGTCTTGCCACAACTGTAAGAGTTTGCTGCTCTCCCCTGAGATGCTGGCGGAGTGGGGCTGGAACGCCGGAGGAAGCCAGGAACGTGGGAACGTGTTCAGCTCAGGTTTAGGAGTCTTGCAGTTGTGGCTGGTTGGGAGCAAACTGGAGGCAAAGATGGCAACTGACCTGGGAAGAGTGAAGTGTTCTTAAAAGCCAAGCCAGGGAAGCCAGCGACAAGTGGTGGAGATTTATGGGAATCTGCGGGCAGCTTCCCTTTGTCATTATACAGACAACTCCGTATCTATGTTAATAGGAGATGGGAAGACACCAAGTCCGCAGATTACACAGATAAA